TTTTTTAAAACTTGTTTACAGCAGCTTTTGTTTGTTGTTTTAGTGCCATCTAGACTGTTCCAGTTGCTTATAGCGGCCCTGTACAGGGTTTCCAAGGAGCAGTTGGTGAGCTTGAACTGCCAACTTTTTGGTTCAAATCGACCTTACAGTCCAGCACGTTAACCCACAGTGCCACACCAGGCCTACTCATACAGTGTTTGTCCTTTTGTGATTGACTGGTGTGGCTCTGTGGACTAGTGCACCAGACTACAAACTCATTTGAACTGCAAGGTTGGTGGTTCAGGCTCACCAGCTGCTCCTTGGAAACCTTATACAGGGTCGTTATGGGTTGGAATTGACTGAACGGCACTTAACAGCAACAATAACAACAGTGTCACTTAGTATACTATCCTCCGGGCTACATTCAGTGTAATTATCAGTCAGTATGAATTGATTGTTACCATTTTGCTGCTGTTGTTGTTGTTTTTTGTGATATTGCTAGTTTCTTTGTTCCACATGAATTTCTGCACTGAATTAATTTTTGTGGGTTTTGTTTTAATTTCTTCATTGCTGATGTTTACTGAATCTGATTTTCCTCTTTTTCATTTTGATTTGAAAATGTATTAATGTTTTTTGAGGTTACCCTATAATTAAATTCTCTCCCAGTTAGAAACAGCTGGTTTAATCTCAAAGTGTACTTGACTTCCTCAGCATTTGGAAGTTCTGTATCTACACTATTTCCTCTTTTTACTTTGTAGTTGACTTCATTATAAATTGGTATATTTAAGTCTTGTAGGTTTGTTTTACTTTGGACACTTATGTATCTGGATTGATGTGCTGGACTGACAAGTTAATAAAACAATATAATATAATAATGGAGACTAAAAGAACAAAAGTGGGCAATAATAAGAAAAAATAATGTAATAACTAAGTAGAGGAAAGAGAACAGGAAAATAGTTGTACAAGAGAAAATAAAAGGGAGTGAAAAAACACTTTAAAAAGGGAAGATGAAAAGGGAAAGAGACTAGAGCATAGTAAAGGAAAATAAAGAGGAAAATGAGAAGGAGGAGATGGTAGAAATGAGAAAGTGAAGAAAAAACAAGCAGACATAGAATAAAAATCAAGGAAGGGGAAGAGAGGAAGAGGAAGAAAGAATAAACAAAAACAGTGAAGTTGTTGGACCCAGAGAGGAGAAAACTCTAGGAGGCCCTTGCCAGTCAAGGTTAAGGAAGGATGTGATGTCTGAGTTCCCAGCCATAGATGGGGTTCCTATAGGTTTAGGTGTTGTCTACATTCAGGGCAGTGAATCCCGAATTACAGGAGGCCCTTCAAGTTGGTAGCTTCAGTGTCAGAACCAGAGAGCAGCTGGGGGCAGGTCGACTTCTTATAAAGGTTCCTGTTATTCTAATTCAGGCTTGAAGACACTGGGGGTTCTGTAGATCTGGAGCAGAGTCCACCTGAATCCAGATGCCATGGTAGGCCCTAGGATACCTGCCTCACAGTGACTCATTGCTCCCAGAGTGGTCTGTGCTGGGGATAGATGAGAGTGTGGGCCAGCCTCACTTCTTTTATCCAGGGGAATGTGGATAGCAAGAAGGAATCTCACTTTTCCATTGCCCGTGTGAGTCTGTGCTATTTCTCCAAATCTGCTTGCAAAGTTTAAGATGCCTGTGCCTTGTCTGGCCGTCAGTATGTTCACCAGTCAGTCTCCTTCTTTCGCAGACTCTTCTCAGCTTCTCCTCCACATAGGTATTCAGTCCACTTCCCTAACCTTTCTTTTGAAGTCCAGGGTTCCAGAATAGTCCACTGTTTCAGTTTCATTCAGTCTCCCTTATATTTATTGTAAGGAGCTCTGGTAGTGTAGTGGCAACGAATCAGGCTCCTAACCTCAAGGTAGGCAGTTCAAAAGTACCAGCCACTCAGTGGGAGAAAGATGAGGCTTTCTGCTCCTGTAAACACATAAAGCCATGGAAACCTTCTACAGGGTCGCTATGAGTTGGAAACGACTCCCTGGCTCACAGCCACCACCATCTTTTTTGTAGAGGGTCTGTAAAGTGTGTCTGCCTAGTCCGTCATCTTGTCGGAAGCCCCTTCACTTCCTACCTCTTGAATTTATATCATCATCCATTATTATCTCAGTTTTTTCTACCTTCTCAAATGTCTGACCTTATTCCCATCTCTCTCCGCTTAACTCACAGAGAATATTGAAGTCATCACATAGTAATATCACCCTACCCCACACCCTAACCCCCGCCACCTGCCCCTGCAGCTACATTCACAAAGCCTTTCTGTATCCCTACTAACTCTTTTCTGTTTTACTCCTATTACATCAGAAGAGTTTTTCCTTCCTAGACCAGGTGTTTCCCCAGTACCCTGGCTGACACTCATTCCCACCTCCCAAGGGGCTTTGTCCCATCTCTTCCCTGCATTAAAACCCATTGCCATTAAGTTGTTCCCAACTCACATTGACCCTGCAGGACAGAGTAGAACTCTCCCATAAGGCTTCCGAAGCTGTAATCCTTATGGAAGGATATCACAGCTTTCTTCACGGAACAAGTAGTGGGTAAAAAGTAGTGGGTTTAAGCTGCTGGTATTTTGGTTAGCAGCTGAGTGCGTAACCTCTTTACCACTAGAGCTCTTTCCCCTGTGTTAGACATTCATTAGATATGTATTTAATAAATATCAGGCACTTTGATAAACAGAAGAAAATTAATAACAATCCTCTCTGGGTACGAGTATTTTTGTTGCTGTTAAGTGCTGTCAAGTCAGTTTCAACTCTTACCTTGTGTAGGGTTTTCAAGGAGTGGCTGGTTGGGTTGAACTGCTGATCTTGCAGTTAGCAGTCCAGTGCTTATTCTATAGCACCACACTAAGCCCCAGGTAAGGGTATGGAATTGAGTCACTGAAGTCTATAGAATTTTATTTATTTATTTAGGTGGTGAAGACTGGGTAACTTTATTTTTGATTTGTATCTATTATGATTAAAAAATATGTGTAATGAATTTTGCCATTTTAACCATTTTGGAGTGTACACTTCAGTGGCATTAGTTACTTTCACCATGTTGTGATACCATCACCACTGTCCTTTTCCAGAAGTTTGACATCACCTCTAACAGAAACTGTTTCTTTATAACCCCCCCTCCAAAAGAAGACTCTAGAGTTTCATTGTCCTAGAAAAAGTTAACTATTCTGAAAAATTCCACAATGCTTAATTTCATAAAGATTCCATCTATAAATTGTATTTTTTATGGACTGCATTACAAAGCTGCTTCTTACCTCTCTGAAGAATGATATTGTATCCATTTAATTAGGGAACATTTCTTTTGATGTTTCTGTGTTATATTCTGTATTTACCCTTTTTGTTAATTTTTAAAGTTTTTATTGTGAATTGAGTGAAAGTTTACAGGGCAGATCATCAGTTTTACATTCAACAAATCATATTCTTTGTTTCATTACAATGATTATAATCCCCTCCATGTACCATCAGTTAACTGTTGTTGTTGTTGTTATGTGCT